CTCTGGTGAAGCCTCTCACCGCCCCTGAGCCTCTGGCCTGTACCCCAGTTCTGTATGCACAAATAAATAAATCTTTTAAAAAAAAATGCAATTTAATGACATGGAAGGACGACAGGGTTCAGTGGAATATAAAGAAGGAAGCTCATAAAAGCTCATGTGTTAAAATTAAGTTCTTGTAAATATATACATATATGTAACTTTATATAACAGATAAGGAAAACACAAATGTAAAAAACTGTCTTTCAAAATCACTTTCAAAAACTGTTATTTTTCTCAGCTTGTTGCAATGGTGTTAACACTTGTGTTCCAGATGTAACAGGTGCATTTTGGTGTACAACAGACCAAACACATTCCTGCAACTTCCTCACCTGTCCAGAGAGAGGGAGCACCTTTTCTACACCTGCCCTCCCTGCTGTGCTGGCCAACAGGCAGACTTACCCTGCTATAGAGCAGTTTCTGTTTCTCCTTTGACCCAAACCACACCCTTCCAAAGACTATGAACCAAACAGTCCTAGCAACAATGTTTTATTGCTGACTGCAAATTTTATGCTTTTTAACTCAAATCTAGGTGCTTTCAAGTCTACCCAATTTTTTCAAGTGTTTTATTTTAGCCACTTTAGGCATTTTGTTCATTAGAATATTCTGAAGTATTTAGAAACAGAAAAGTAGAGAATATGGCAAATAGTTGTCTATGTAGAAAAGGAAGAGAACACAATAACAATTCTTAGCTTGAACTAACCTGGATGTTTACAACTGGCGGCTGGATTTGGCAATGTCATCAGTCATTGGTGACTGTGGTGGGAGTTATTTCTCTGAAATGGTGTGTGGTGTAACCTGATTGGACTGGGTTAGAGAGAATAGGAGGAGAATAATAGGAGCCAGGGAATAAGGCAACTCTTTCAAGGAGTTTTGGTATAAATGGAGCAAAGAAGAAGAGAATGAGAATGTGAGAGAGGAGTATAAGATAGGAGAGTGGGCTAGGAAAGGGGAACTTGCACTCCATATTAGGAGTTAAAGGTTAAAGCAGGTTAAAGCACAGCACTGAGAAGCTAAAATTAATTCAGCATGAGTTTGATCCCCGCTCTCCCTGGAGGTGACCCACATGGTGCGGCAGACCTCTCCTGACCCGCCCGCTGCTCCCCTCAGCGGCGTGCTTTGTTGGTCTGCCTGTTCTGCACCCCACTCTGTCTCTGGTGAAGCCTCTCACTGCCCCTGTACCTCTGGCCTGTACCCCAGTTAAAAAATTTTTTTAAATATTTATTATATTTATTCTGTTATTCAAAATGTGAGCTTGCACTCCATAATAGGGTTGGGACCCAGCTGTGAATTTTAGTGAGAAAGTCCGGTTGGGTGTGTACTTTCTCCAGCTACATTCAGCTGTCCAGACTCAGTATCTTCCAGTGGAGAGTTGCATTTAACTTGGATTGAGGAGAGAGAGAAGAATCAAGTGGCAACTGCAAAGTGGGTGAATGCAAAGTGATGAATAGAAGGATGGATCATGACTGTCAGGTCCATTGCTCCACTGCAGCGAGGGTGGGAGATATTGGTAATAGAGGGAAAAAATTGGAGGTGGTAGCCAGAAAGTGGGTGCTGGCAACTGAAATTATGGAGAGAATACTGAAGAACCAAGAAGCAAGCAGAATGGAAGAATCTCTACCTAGTTAGAATTATGATGGGGGCCCTCCCTGGTGGCGCAGCGGGTTAAAGCACAGCACTAAGAAGCTAAAGCCACTTCCGCATGAGTTCGATTCCCGCCTGCCCCAGAGGTGACC